CAGGTTAATTGCAGATGTGTTGCCGGCCTTTTAAAAGAGTAGACTCTTTTCTTGAAGGTCGCTTCCAGAAAAATTGCTGGTGGTATTCGATTCTACAAGGAAGTTGTGCGAGAAAAAAACTTCTAAATCGCACAGTAGAAGGCCTCCAATCATCCCGATGGTATGGATGGTATCTCGAGTTCTGTCGCGATGTACGATGGTGAAATTGAATCTAAACTACAACAATGGGAAAGGCCAGAAAATACCATCTATGGCTTTTGTTAGAAATGGTGGTACAACCATCTCGTTTACGTAAATACAGACCGGTAACAAGCAACAGCGTCAAAGGTGATAGATATCAAGCGTATTGAGGCACTTGCCTTTCTAAAGCGCGGGGTCCGATTCCAGCCGTGGATTTAGAAGAAGAAAGACCATTATATAAGGTGGCAAATTACTTTTATACGTTGTAGAGTCACGCTGCAGCTATAGTATGGTTATAGCACGAATGGGTCGGCTCGGCCGGGGTAGGACCACGCTCTCACAGAATACCAGCGTAAAATAGCAGATTAATGCTGCTGTATTTCGCAAGTTGAGTATACAGAAGCGGAGACCCATTTTACTGGAAACTGGATATTCCATCTCAGTCCTCAAAGGTGACAACTGACAACGCATTTGCATTTTGATTCTTAATTGAGGATAAATGTAAGTTAGTGTTTATGGGCCACGGCATCCATATGGACCGTTAGCTCGTTTGTAACCTTATTCTATAAAAAAAATCACAAAATTATAAACAAATAAGTATTTATTTTGTTTTTTATTTATATAATATATGAAAACTTATTTCTTTATATAATTTATTTTGTATGTATATTAAAGATTTATTTTATTTATACATAACTTTGTGATAACTATGTATAATACAACACACTTCCTCCCTTTAAGTAAACCGTGAGACAAGTATAACATAAATTTGTGTTTTCTCTCACAAAATAACGTCAAGTGTAATATTAAACAAACGTATTGAATATAAAGGAGTGGCTTTGAGACAATTTATATATCCAGTGCTTGTTACCCAGAGAGTAAACATTAAGCGCTAACAAGCACAATGTATAGGAGTTGCATCGCTCGTTATTGTCTCCGATTTCGCTAGCAGCGGTTCTATTACGATACGCGACCCCTTTCTGTTGTCGCTGCGTGATGATAATATTATAGTCACCTTACTCACCTTTCATAATGCGCTAACGATGTAACGTTAGACAATGGGAATTGACTAAAGTTAGGTTTTGACAAGGAACCCTTACTTTCCTAAAACCATCGTAAAGAGAAGGATTTTGGAGGCCTCTTCAGGGACTGATTGCACTGTTTTTTTTTTGTGTTTTATAGGATAGGGTGACAAACGAGCACACAGTCCACCTGATGGTAAGTGGTTGCTGTGCCCATAGACATCTATATTTATCCTCGCGAATCAAAATGCAAATGCGTTGTCACCCGTGAGGACTAAGATGGAATGCCTCTTTTCCAGTAAAAAGGGTCTCCGGTTCTCTACACTCACCATACGAAACACAGCAGTGTTATCTGCTATTTTACGCTAGTATTCTGTGAGAGTGTGGTCGTTTCCCGGTCGAGTCGACCCATTCGTGCTACAACTATACTACTAATATAGGTGGTAATAATGGTAGTGGTGGTGGTAGAGCCATACCACGTATGAACATATATGTTTACAACTTCACGTGCCTATGATTTAAAACTATGTGTGTAATGGTTGCGTGTAGTGTGTCTGTATAATTATGACGTCATATAAAGTTTAATTCGAATTTGTAAAGTTATAGCACATATTAGCACAGTAATCAATATTGATGGCGGCGGGGTTGATTCCGGATTTCTCAAATAATGTGTAATTTAAAATTACAAAAGTCACCATATCATCCACACCTCATGGATGCTTGGTGGTCCATCACTGCGTGATTTACCAGAAGTTTTATTTCTCGCACAACTTTTTTGTGGGATCGTTTACCACCGGCGGTTTTTCCGGACTGGTACAATTTAGGGAACGTCAGGTAACGAGCTTTCTTTTTTTTTAATGTTCGTCAACGTAACTGCAATTTCCCTGGTGTTGCAGTTGCTCATGGGCAGTTGTTTAATAGTTCATTGTATTAAATAGTTTTTGCATTTGTCTACTATTCCATTAAGCACTTGTTTCTAACATCCTTAATTAGTAAGTCCAAATATATAATATTATTAATAATAATAATTATTATTATTTTATTTCAGAACATAATTTGTTAGTAATACATTGCGCACTTTAAATACTAATGTTAGTTTCTTAAATATGTATAATTACTCTAATTCACTGTTTCAGTGACTTCGCATTTGCCCGTCACATCGTTCGGCAAACATGTTCAGAATACTGTTGCGGCTGCCACGCAATCTACTCAACAGGGAGTATACTCGTTTACGCATTATTGCAAAGAATTCATCTGTTCTTGCTTCTGCGAACATCCCTGATGCGCTACAAAAGCGAGGCAGCCCCAACAGGGCTCTGAAAATGTTATTACATAGAACACAAAGGTTGCATGCGTAAAAAGATTGGCAGTAGGTTTTAAAAAGTGCAATCTTGACTTCGTAGCTACACCGTGCAAACCTACCAATTAACATATTTCCACGGACCGATAGTGCCATTCGCTCCCTCTAGATGTCCATACTCCATATTATCATCTTTACAAGTTTCACTAATGTAGTGGCCTAAATATTTAAACTGTTTTACTCTGGCTAGGGCAACTAGGGCATGTACCATTAAGCACAATATGAGGCACATACTTGGGACAATTATTTCCAGCTCTAAACACCTTAAACTGACTTTTCTTAGCATTGTATATTAAACCATGTCTAACAGCATGATCCTCACAAACACGTAACAATTTTCTAAGAGCACTGACAGACCGGGCGAGCAGCACCATACCATCTGCATAACTTAAATTGTTAAAGCATACTCCATCTACATAGCATCCGATATACATGCTGCTCAACTCACCAATTAAGTCATTAATGTACAGGCTGAACAGGTTTGGTGGACTTAAACCAATATGAAATCCCTGAAATTAGTTTTATTCCATTTATTCCCAATACTAAATTCCATTTCAATATACAAACAACTTATTCAAAATAAAGTTATTATAAGTAATACAAAATAAACCACGGATGTATAAATAAATGAAATTCAAATATTTTAGTGATGGCCTTGTTCGGTATAATTTTAAATTCATATGAATTTAGAAACTTGAGATTTTATGATAAAACATCACACAATTTGTGAATCAGATTCACTATTTATTAACAATGGATCGTGTCATACTTATAACAATTCTAGTTCTTAATTCAAAAACGTCGAAAGTAGTTTTGATGAAATCAGAAAATTATTGCGGTGCTAAATTTAAATACAAAAATAATTACGGACGTGGAAGAGCCATGCTGCAGCTATATTATTATGGTTGTAGCACGAATGGGGCAGCTCGACCGAGGAGGGGCCACGCTCTTACAAAATATCAGCGGGAAATAGCAGTTTAAGGCTGCTGTGTGAGAACCGCGTGAGTGTAGAGAACCGAAGATGCTTTTTACTGGAAACGAGGCATTCCATCTTAGTCCTCAGGGATGACAACGCATCTGCATTAGACTCTTAATCGGGGAAAGATGTAGGTATCTATGAACATAGCATCCGTACACATCATACATCCATACCATATACATCAGTAGGAATAAAAAGTAAAAAAATAAATAAAAAATAAAACGCAGTGCTATATCTGAAACGTACCAGGTTTTATATGTTGTAGTACATCCCATATTTCTATTATTTCTATTATGAAAGACTTAAATAATTTGTTTTTTAATAGTTTCGTCCTACTAAAACGAAAACGCTTAGCAGCACCGTAGCGTCGGACGCGACCTATTCCAAGAAACAGTAGCTTTCTTGTTTGCGCTGCCAGCACACTGCTTGACTGTTACCCTGTGAGAGTCCTTTGTTCCGTGGTGTTTACATGTTATAATAGCTATGCTTTCAGCGATATGCTCGCTTCAATTGTGACTAACATGCTTGGAGGCACGTAGTGTTTTAGCGTAAGGTACCTTGGAGAAAAAGGTCTTGATTTGTGTCATGCCAAAATGTAAACGACAGAATGATTATAATGTAAAATGCTTTTTGTTTAGGAGCTTAGCCGCAGACTACTTGTTTTTCCTTCTTTTTTTTTTTACGGAAGTGAATGAAATTAACTGTATGAGATCTTATGTCTCAGTTATTTTGTTTAAATTTCGTTTTTATTTTTTTAAATCTTTTGAGTTGAAATGAAAAACATACATTTTAGATTTATAAAAAAATGTTATGTAAATGTATGTCAAATATAATATTAATGGCATCGGTAATTTTTTTTGTTATGACAACTTATGAACTACTGCCAATGTTAAGCCAATTATATTAATAACATAATATACAGAAACAGAAACTTTTTTAGTCAATATAGATTATAAATAATACTTATTGAAAGTCACTCTTTTGTTTAATTACCACTGGTTCGAAAAAACCTCTGTCCTGGGAAGAACCAGCAAGAAACCCAGCGGGACTTTTTTTTTTAAATTGTAAATTATTATCATGTAAAGTAGATGAGAAAGTTGTGTTTGTTCCAGTAATCCACGTCGCTTGGAGAAGTTTAGAAGTATTATTGTTTTACTATAGGAATTCTATAAGGAAGGTAATTATAAAAATGTATATGTCCCCCCACCAGATGGAGTGACGACCTGGTAAAACATGCAGGAAGTCGATGGATGCAGGTGGCTCAGGACCGTGCTTTGTGGCGTTCCTTGTGGGAGGCCTATGTTCAGCAGTGGACTTGTGAAGGGCTGTAATGAATTAATAAACGAAAGAATATGGGTTGTTTTTTTTTCAAAATAATAAAGGAGTGTAATATTTACATGTTTGCCGATTTTTACGCTTTGGGCCATTATAATCTATGTTTTGGGTATTTCGGTGAATTATGTTTAGAGTAGTAAGGCAATTTTCTTTCTCCGGTAATGTAATAATTTCGGAAAATAAAAACGTAAAAAGTATTCAGCCAGTATTTTTAAAACTAATAAAAATAAATCTATCTCATAAAGTAAATATATTAATAAAACATTAATACATATTTCAATACAAATATAATTATATTATATTTAAATTTTGAAGTTTTTCTCGTTTTATTTTTGTGTTATGAATTTACACATCATGTTCACGTGTACTAAAACTGATGATGTCGTAAGGCGAAATCGGTTAGTTATTATAGTTAATAAATGAAAATAATTATAAGTGAAACAATTACTTATGTGTCAATCCAAATCACAAAAATGAAGATGAAGTTTCACCAAGTGACAAACATAATTTTTTTACATTCAAATAATCTAGTGTTTTAATTGATTACTAACTACTAATCGATTATCTTTACGAATTGAAAAAAATAAGGTCAATATGGTTGGCATATTAATCCACCAGTTACTTTACTAAGGCAAGTAATGTTAGGTTGATGAGCGAGCTATTTGTTTTTACGCTCGACATTGGTATTTCCAAATATTGATATTATAACCTCGTACTAAATGACGCAGTCATTGAACTTAGCTAAGCGGTTATCAATGCTTCAAAAAATATTTACAATCATTTGTAGGTGGGCTATTTCCTCAAGTTTATTTTGTAATTACGCATTTGATAGAAACCATTATCAGTTTATCCGTTAAGAAGTTTTACTACCAATGTGAGTAAATATCGCCCTTATCAAACCAGGGCAATCGACTTGATGCTCTTTATCACTCCATATCTATTTGCTTTAAATCGTTGACATATTTACTTTATTATTATATGTACTGTTTCATAATATGTATCAATAACACAGTTTATAGTAATATTATTATTTGTTGCTATTGCTATACTTCCTAGCGTAGTGCTTATGGCAAATTCTTTTTCCGATTGGACAGGCCTATGGACTGCTACAGCCGTGGACTGTTACGGACTGATGAAAAACACTATGTTTTTAATGGTTGTTACTTACTTACTTACTTACTTATCTTCACGCACAATCCGTGACGGGGTAGCCAGAGAGAACACATCGCCAAGTGTCACGATCCTTACATACCTCTTTCGCTTCTTTCAGATTCATTATCTTCTTCATACATACACGTCTAGGTATCCGAGTACTCTTGACCCTCTCCTCTTCGAGCAATTTGCTCACATGGTCTTCGAAAGTTAGTCTCGGTCTACCTTGACACCTTTTAATATTAACTTTCGCGCTATATATTTTCTTCACCATTCGGTCTTCACTCATTCGCTCAACGTGCCCAAACCATCGAAGCACGCCCTTATCAATTTTTGTGATAAGGTCATCTTTCAAACCTGCCATATTGCGAATATCTTCGTTTCGCTTTCTCTTTCTTTCTTTCTTTCTCTTTCTTTCTTTCTTTCTTCTTTAATGGTTGTTGATTGTATAATTACATACTGTGTCTAACATTTTTTATTTCAATCTCTACTTATATGTCAAAATTACTGTGGAAATCAATCGGGAGTCGTCCTATTAGTTTAGAGGCTTAGAGGGTTTTAGGACAAGAAATTGTCCACCGTGCGGCCCCAACGCGTAATGGCGGACTACACATGTTTTACAAATATTTTCTTAGACTAGACGGTTTTCTCTGGATGTTTTCCTTCACCGTTAACCACCGGCATCATCAGTACTTAAATTGCAATTAACAATTTCAGGTGCCGGCGGGCTTTGAACCCCGTTCTCTCGTGCACACTGAAATTTACAGCAAATACGAACTTGAGTTGAAATGACTTAATTATTTTAAGTCTTGCTACAAATTATTTTTGTGTTTTAATCTAGCGCAAGTTAATTATGTGCTATCTTACGTGGTAGAGCCATGCTGCAGCTATATTAGTAGTATAGTTGTAGCACGAATGGGTCGGCTCGACCGGGGAAGGACCACGCTCTCACAGAATACCAGCGTAAAATAGCAGTTTAGTGTTGCTGTGTTTCGTTTGGTGAGTGTAGAGAACCGGAGACCCGTTCTACTGGAAAATAGGCGTTCCATCTTAGTCCTCACGGGTGACAACGCATCTGCATTCTGATTCACAAACGAGGATGGATGTAGATGTCTATCTCACTTACCATCACTCACATCAGAATTTCTGAAATTATTTTATTCTTTTTAGTTTCTTAATGTCGGCTTAATACGTTTTGTTAAAAGTTTTTTAAGTCTTTTAATTGGACTCAGGAATATCACAATTTCAATATAGTCTAAAAAGTTACCACCCCTAGAGGTGTAATGTTTTCTCCAAATTTATATGGGATTACCCCTGAAGTAAAACCTATTTAATAAAGGAATAAAATTATTAAAATCAGTTCGCAATTATCGAAGATATCGTTTAACATACGTACAGTGGAATTGTACGTGTCCTCCTTTTTTGAACTGGACTAAAACCATTTAACAAAGTTATATGTACTACGTACTAGAGAAGCCATTCCAAACAAAAATTGTGTCCTACTCTATGTCTTCCCGCATGCGCGGGAGTAGTAGTCGCGCATGCGCGAAGACTTTAATTTAATATAAAGAAGATATTAATATAAAATAAATATAAGAATTTAACATAAAATATCTTAATTTAATCTAAACAAACATATTTCTAAATAAAATGTAATAATAATTATTTTATGGAATTCACAAAACTTCAATTTACGCAATATTTAGTTTGTATGGATTGCACTACAGTTCAATTGAACATAGTCAATGTTCGGAATGGCTTCTGTAGTACGTAGTACATATAACTCAATGACTAAAAATAATTATCAAAGAATAATGAAAATAAAAGAATAAATATTTCAGTTCATAACATAAAATTGTAGGTAGCCTTATGCAACTTATAATTTATTAATACCGATGATTTTTTCGAAGCATTCCTCATATTTACGCGAATATTTGCATATGCATACATTGAATTATGCTAATTTTACGTATTTTCTCGTGTTTAATTTCTACTTCTCTATTACCACGTTTTTATTAAGTCATTTTCTTGTTTGTTTCGTTCCGGGTGGAATTTAGTAGTAATTGATTTTAAATTAACTTCCCGATAAGCTGGAGACTTGAAATAATTAATTTAAATTCGGATTAAAATGCAAGTATATGATAAATAAACTTGGTAATTTTTTTAAAAGTTTGTATAAAATAAATCACTTGTTCAATTCCGTACATTTCGGGTGCTTAACATTTTCAGCACCCATATTCACGGGGTAATCGAGGTATTTGGCATCTTGATGTTATATCATAATATGTTAACCCCTCAGCTTTTTAATATTAATTTTAGTCCGATCTAAGGAGAACGAGCTTACAGTATCTTGGCGTCTTATAGTGGTATGCTTGGATTTTTTCTTTTTAATTTTTTAGGAGCTTTTATCTCGACCGAATATGTTATGCTTTCATTTTTCTAATTATAGAGTTCCGAGTAAATGGTAGCAGCAGCACCCAGGTTTTAAGAATGGGTAAAAAAAAGTTAAGCTTGAACCAATAAATAGTCTATTATAAAAGAGCCCTCATTGCGCTGACTAATAAAATCGTGGACTATGCTCCGAACTTTATCACATTGTTATTTTGTTGTGCCGCGCGAGACGTGTAGACTGTATGTCGTTAATATTGTTTATTATAAATTATATCTATTATAATGATTAATGTATTTGTCAGTCTTTTTGTTAAACAACTTGGTTAAGGCTAGTCTGCTACGTTTCATAGATAAACATTTATTTTTATTTGTAAATAATGAATGTTATAAAATCGCCGTAATAGGATTAAATATGGCGTCACGTTCAGATATTTAGTATTTAGGTAGTTAGAAATCGTAGTGAAGTATATTATACGTGGTAGAATCACGCTACAGCTATAATATGTAGGTATATGGTTGTAGCACTGATGGGTCGGCTCGACTGGGGAAGGACTACGCTCTCACGGAATATTAGCGTAAAATAGCAGCTTAATGCTGTTGTGTTTCGTATGGTGAGTGTAGAGAACCGGATATCTACTACTCCTCAGCATTTGCATTTAGATTCTTAATCGAGGATAGATGTAGATGCCTATGGGCCACTTACCAACAGGCGGACTGTGTGCTCGTTTGTCACTCTTTAATATAACTATTTTTGAAAATATTCCATAATTTCTGACTGTCAATTAGAATAACTGTCACATCTTTAAAGTGAACAGTGTGGAGGCGCGTGGCGTTTAGTAATGCTATCGCCAATTTCATTTTTACCGCTAATAAACTTTGAAAATGTTCGATGTTTCCATATCAGGTGTTCATCACAATAAACCCTAAATTGTACGAATTGTGTTTTTGCACAAATGGTGGTTCGGATTGGGTTTCGAACCTACGGATTCTCATCGTCTTACCACTGTCTTATGGACTGTTTCAAGCTGATGTAAATCTTATTATCACACTTGTTCATTGTGGGAATTGTTTATTTAGTTGTTATCTTGAGTTAAAGACCCTGATGGTTGGTAAGACAGGCCTATATCTAATACAGATAGCAGACGTTTAGATTATATTATTATTTTATTTTATTGTATTTATTTATTGCATCGTGGATCTAGTGGCCGTAAGCCTGACGTCTGATTATGAGATCCCAGGTTTGAGTCTCAGCTTAAGAGTCAGAAAGTCAGCGGTGTTTCACCCCAGTGCCTGGGCAACCACGTAATACCATTGGTCCTGCGCCTGATCTCTCTCCGGTCGTGTCTTATTGCCGTCCCATTGGACTACGAGAGTAGGATCACACTCTACAACATTAGCTACATGTATCTATAATAATATTATCTCCATTAAAATAATATTTTCTACAACGTTATTATTATTTGAATTGTAAACATAAAACGACTAATATAAGCAACGAAGTCACAGATTACTAAATAGTTTGTAACAACAAATAGTTGACAAAGTTGTGTGATTGACAAACTCTGATCTGAATCAACATTTACCTGTGTATCTTGTTTGAGGTCAAACATTGTTATTCCTATAACTGTATGGGAACAAGAACAACGGGTCGCGCGCTCTCAT